TCTGTCTCTATCTGCCTGCCTGTGTCTGTCTCTATCTGCCTGCCTGTGTCTGTCTCTATCTGCCTGCCTGTCTAATGCTGATGCCCTGGGTTCCCATCCACACAGCTTTCAGGTACTGTCTCCCCTGCATTAAACTCTGTAAGACCCTGTAACAAGGAAACTGGTTCTGGATGGTGTCCAATGCTGGATAATTTCACCAAAATGTCGTAAAAATCCCTCAGCTCATCAACCACCCAAACGCCCCACGATCCACCCAAAAAACATTCAAAATTGTGATTCTTTCACAGAATGTTTCATTCCGTCCAAAGTTGTTTCACATTTTCTGTGTTAGATGTAATTGATTCGCAGTCGATAACTGCTAACAAGTGTAAGTAACAGGAAAACACCAAGTGGGACCAGTATAGTGATACTACTGGCCAGAGTCCAAATGGAATTAAACAAAAGCACATTTTACTGCTTAAAAGTAGGTTACAGTGATCTGCCAAGGAGAAGCATTATTTCCTGCACGGCCTTATTTTGATGGTGAAGTTGCATATCTGAGCAGTCAGCAAACCGGAGACCGTATCCACAACACGTCGTCGCTAACGAAACCGCAGACTAGCCGAGCTGGCGCCGGGCCAGGGTGACGGCGTGCCATGCCCTGACTGGGGGCTCTGGCGCTCTGCCGAGCTCGCTCAGTCCTCGGAGGCTGCCAAATCACCCCGAGGTTGATTACAGGGGTCCAGACTGGGCTGGGAGGCCCCCTTCCCGGTGCCCCCCTACCCTCCACCCCTCATCCTTAGCGTCCAACACCCCTACCCAAGGGGCACACTCTCGCTCACTCCTGCCGGCCCCCCCCCACCTTATCTGAAAAACAGCTGTTGTTTTGGAAAAGGCATCCCAGATCGCTGGTGTTTTTAGAAGTGGGAGGGGGATGTTGGGGGGTGGGGTTTTATAAGGGTCAGGCGAGTTCAGGCATGGTGCCTGGCCCGCCGCCCGCTGCCACGCGCCAGCCCACACCGCTTAGAATAACATCACAGGAGGGTGTGTCCATTCCCCTGAAGGTCTCAACCAGGTCCTCCTTGAATCCCCTCCGCCAGCCGCTAATACAGAGTAGTAGCCACCAATCTGCCATCAGCAGGACTGGGCTGCCCCCGGGGTCGCGGCCAGTCGCTACCTCCCGCTCGACATTTCCTGCCAGGGAGGGGGCCAGCTTGACAAAGACATCAGGGGCAGACATGGGATGCCCCCCCCCCCCACCACATGAGCCCGCAGCTTGACGTATGTGCACCATATACCCTTCCTCATTTATAAGCCCTCAAATTACAGCTAAGGAAATAAAGGCATTACCCATAATGCAAAGCAGCTGTCAACATCCCTTAACGACAATAAGTCTCCCCAGATACATTCACCAGAGCCAGAAAACACCCGAGGCGATTCCAAGCAAGCTGTACACCACTTGTATTTCACCATCACCCTAGTCAGCCGAGGTATTACCAGGTATTTCCATACCCTTCACCCGCCCCGCCCCCATGTATAACAGTAATGGGCGGGGCAGGCCTTTGCCGTGAGGCGGAGCATCAGGTGGCAACATGTGAGAAGGCCACACCATGGCATGACTCACAAGAGCGATGCACGAAAAGTTGACACTGAGAGAACGCACCACTTTACTGTCGCCAAGGTCTTCTCTGGAATGTTCCGGAAAACGGCTCAGATGGGGCCTTTTAAGCGTCAGGGTTCACCTTCGACAGAGAGACGTCCCGGTCCCGCAGAAAGGCGCTTGCCGCGCCTCGGAGAGGCTGGCATTTGTGAAATGTCAACACCCGGCACTTAATCCACACCTTCAGCGCGACAGGCGCCTGACTCCCAAGAAAGGCAGCGCGCACTTTCCGCTGACAAGTCGCCCCGCGCCATCCCATCATCGTCACTGTCACAGACACGCAGCTAACGGCTCGACGTGTAACGGGCGCGATTAGAGTACCACCACTCCCACCGGGGACCTGGGCCCCGGGGCCCGCCCAGCTAGGAGCGGCCCCGTTTCTGACACCTCAGGAATGGAGGTGGCCCCATGGCCACGAGGGGGCGATAAATCAGGACACAGCAAGACCTAGTAAAACCGAGGGAAACTGTACAAACATTTCCCTTATTTCAGCGATGCTGAAGCAGCAAATTCTAACAAGATGGAAAAGACAAAGCAGAGATGGACAGAGGATGGGGTCAAACGGGGACACGATCGCATCGAGGGCCCAGGGCAACAAAAAAACCGGGGAATCAAGCATCCTTGGACAGAATACAGGGGCGCTGAGGATTGACAGACCCCTCCCCCCCACCACCTCCTCCTCCTCCTCCTCCTCCTCCTCTTCCCGGTGGACTCACCTTTCTGCGAGGAAGTCAACGACGCGGCGGAAGTCAGCGATGCAGTATTCCCGCTTCATGTCCATGAGGACGCTGTCGGAGGCTGACTGCACGGGCACATGGAGGAAGGCGTACACCCGGGGGTGGCTCAGGATCTTCGCCATCTCCTGTGGTTGGGGGGGGGGGCATAGAGGCGAGGGTTACAGCTCCTCAGAGAGCTGAAGGGGGTGTCCTCTGCCAATCCACACCTGCGAGTCATTTTAACCTTTTCTAACATAACTGGGGGGCATAAACATCTGCCCTACGTGGAGTCCCCTTCACATCTGGAAGAACAAGTCCCCGTCCCCCCCCCCTCAATCGCCAGCCCCCTGTAAGTGCAACTTACACAAAAAAACACACAAATCAAATGGTAGCTAAAATCGCAGAATGAGAAACACTGAGTAGCCGTTCAGGTGTTTGTTTCTGCTGGTCCGCAGAGCTGCCCCCTTCACCTCCATGCAGGCTGTGACGAGGTACGAGGGCGTGAATTTCGGGGTTACTGGTGCGCGCGCACACACACCCTCACCAGCCCCCGCCGGCCCCCGCCGGCCCCCGGTGTCACCGGGGAGGACAGCAGGGAGAAGTTAACCTTTTTTTTTTTTTAAAAGAAAAGACCGGTGACATTTCTTCCAAAGCAATAGGACATCATGGGATGCCGCCAACCCCCCCCCCCACCGACGACGAGGCCGCCCAGTGCTTAAAACAGCTGGGAGAGCAGCTCGCAAAACCCAGGAGTCACATGGCATTTCTCGAAAGATCAGCAGGCTGCAACTGAATTCCCAACGAACAGAACAATTACACGTGTCGAGAAGTCAAACCCCTCTCGCGACGCCGGGGGGGGGGGGCACCCATCATAAACAATCACTCAACTACCAAATTGCAGTGCTAATTAGCCCATAGTTCTGCACGGTAACGAACTGATGACACCTTAGACACACTCCTCACAGCCTCGAACCCGAACCCGACCCCTCACGGCGCACTGCTGTGGCCCCCACCCCGGGAAGCCAGCCTCACACGATCCTGCTCTGCGGACCCAGGAGCCAGTACCAACACAAGGTCTGACGTTTCATCCGGCACCCAAAGCGAATTGTGTCTGTTCCGCAGCAGAACTCAGAACCGGTGTGGGTCCCGAGTCGGGGTTGGGGGGGAAAAATAATAAAAAACACAGAAAGAAAAACAGACAAATGAGTGAGACTCTTGAGGAGAGACAGTAGCGGGTGGGGGGATGAAGTCAGGAGCCCCCAGCTACTGTGGGCCCTCGTCGGCTCGCCTTGTTAGCCATACGGTACCCACCGTCTAAGGGGTGGCAAGCCAGCCCTCAGCAATCGGCTGATTACGGTCCGTCTTCACAATTACATTGTATTGTGCACCCCCCCTCCCCCCCCCGCATCTCGCCTCACAGTGGGGTTACACGGCAGAACATCCAAATTAAAGGAATTAATTAGCCCGAAGAATGCCGGCTGATTGGGAATCTGGATAAATCACCAAGTCCCGTCACGGGCTGTCCAGACGCTGCACCCCCCACAGGGGGTCTAGGGGACGGAGACGGCATTCCTGGGGAGGGCACAAGACACACTGCCCCAAAGTCACATGACCTGATGCCATATCACAGGCGAGATGCGACTGAGTGACAGGTGAGAAGAATTTCAATTTCTATGTTTAAATCGTCAGTATGGACTGGTGGGCTGGGGGGGGGGTATTTTGAATATAAAACAGTGGAAAAAAACAGAACTTTAATTTCCTACTGAAGACAGAAATTGCGTTCGACATCTGATTATAGTTTAAGATATGAAAAGAATGCGGACTTGTTAATTAAACAACTTATAATTAAACAACCCGTGTTAACAACACTATCTGATTGGCTCGCGTCTCGCCCTGGAGCTGCGCCGTGTTTAATATCCATCTTATTTACTCCGTAAAGCAGTCATTTACTTAGCCATGGTAATGTGTGCAGGGAACTCATTAAATGAAGACAATACGGGCTTCTGATTTTAAAATAACCATCCAGAGGACTGTAATTGGTGGTGGGGGGGGAGGGGTCAACTGGCCCGGGCTTATAGTATCAGACTGGAGCAGCAGACCCCAGTCAAGCCCAGACATGCTACACAGCTCAGGGACACAGTAATCCATTTCAAAGCAGGATCTTGCACTCGGGCCCAGGAAGTGACATCACAGAGAACATATTACAACAGGAAGTAGCTAGGAGGGGAATTCCGCCCAAAGCCAAGATGCTTATTTAGCTACACATATCCACTACATGTGAGGGTTCTTCACACGTGTAGGTGTGTAGAGAAAACCCGAGCTGAACAACTCGCTGTCATGGATCTGCGCGTCCCATGTCGCACAAAAAAGTAACTTCCGACAATCGAGCCTGCTGACGCTGTCGACCCCAAGTGTCCGTCAACTACACTGGTCAGCTAACAGTTTTGATAAGCAGACTAATATAGTCACTTTTACTGAAAAACAAATGGAACACATATACACCTTCTAACCAAAAGTGTCAAAGAAAAGAAGTAATTTTTTTGCTGAAACACACCATTATTCTAACACAATTATAAACTGTCATTAAACTAAGGCAATTAAAACCTAATTTTATAATCAAGCGAAATATGGAGGAAGAATCCCCTAAAACAATGCACTGGATGGAAATTAAATAAACTACTCACCTTCAAGGAGCCGAAACCAAAAGTTAATTTAAATTAACTTTAGGGGACATCCAGCTATCATCGAAAGCGGGCCTGAGCTTGTTTGTGATTAAGTTCTGTAATAATGTCCAGTTAGATGAAGGCCATTAATTCACGTGGCAAGAGATTAACAGCCCGTCCTGCCACCCCCTCGTAAAAACGCCACAGACACGGCAGAGGGACGTCCAGCAGAGCCCGATAACAGACGCATGATGGACAGAAGAAAAAACGCCAAACTCTTGGGTGTCACCGAAGGACAGAGCAATTAAGAGAGATTTCAAAATAGGAAAATATTTCACCGGTTGAATTTATATGTCATACCTCCAGTGTGGAATACAATGAATTCGTATGCATTCCCCAACAGGCCAGTGAATCTGTGTTTCTGCGATAATTACTGTTTTCGTTGGACCCGACGCGGCGCGTTTTGGCTCGGCGCGCCTGCAAAAACACTGTGACTGCCAGAAATTAACAGCCGTCACACGTCGTGATATTTAAACGGGAAACGGCGATCCCAGCCAGGAGCGTTACAATAGTGGGGGAGAAAGGACCGGGCCAGACGGGGAAATCCCACATGGCTCGGCCCGGGAATCGAAGGCCGCTACATTTTCAGGACATGAAGGGCAAAAGCGCCCAGCGGTCTGGCTCAGATACCAGGAGAAGGGATTCCCGGTATTCCCAGTTTGCCCACAGCTTCAGGGAATGAAACACTGACATTCCACGCATCTCTGTGTAGTCCCCAAAACGCAGGCTCGGCTAGCGCGAGGGATACCTGTTGAACTTCCCCCATCCCTCCATCTCCCCGGATCATTCTGGAAGAAACCGCCCTTTGCAATGCGGATGATCAGCGCGGCACGCCTCAGCATTAGCTTGGCCTTCTATTAGCATCCATAGACTCATGTCAAGTGCATCCAAAGACACTGTGGAAAAACCCGCTACTATTTATCACTGCAAACTCTGCTCTTTATGCACAATGACAGTTTCCAATCCTCCATCTTCAACCACAAGTTTTCACTTCATCTTCTCTTTGCATTTTCTTTAATCAAAGTCCTCCTCACGCGTCCCACAGCGCCTTGCCGCTAATGGTATATTCATTAGAATGGAACACATCACACCAAGCAGAGCTGCTATTTTAAGACTAGGTTTCCCCTAGACCACAGCACAACTTACCCCTTTAGGGTCTCTGCAAATCAGCTGCACTTCAAATGCAAACTGGGCCATGAGTCTGGAGCGACCGCAATCAAACCTCATTTTTAATGGAACATCGGAGTCGAGTATCGCAGTCACGAGCAGAGAAGTGTGTGGACGCCCCAGGGTCCATTTATTATCTGATTAGACCCCGACTGTTGAACAGTTAGCTCCCTTTCTATAATAAAACCTGCTCTTACTTTATGCTGCAGAGGATAATTAATCCATTAAAATGTCATTCTTTAGTGGCATAAATGAATGTGAACTGGGACCCTCATTTGCCCGTGCTACAAGCCACAAGAGCCGACCACTGGGTTTATTGCCAATTCCCATTAATGGCCACAATGTTTATAAAATATATATAAAATCTCCAGCTCTGAAAACATCTTTTTTTATTTAGGCAGAAATCAGCAAACAAAACTTCCGCCCTCCCCCCATTTGGTGCGTGATGGCCCCCTGTATGGCACAACAGTAAACACACCTGACCATAACGCCACTGACATCATTACAATCAGACCTTTGCCCTTTGAAGACAGAATAAGCGCTGGAACATTCTAAGCCTCCCCGCTAGTTAGTGGTACAAGGCCGTCGACAGGAGTTCTGGGTGCCTCTCTGGAACGGCGTTCCTCAAGGCCCAGACTCGAGTCTTACCTATTTGTGCCATATTTTTGCTTCATGAAGCCCGCAAGCTTAAAGAAACCGGGATGGGGGGGGGGGGTATCTGGTTCCTGGGGGAGAAATCTGACCTGCTCACCAATCCTACTCTACTCTAGATAAGTTGGTCACGTTTGTGAAAAGATCTGAAGTCTGGACTTACTAAACCCTGATGAGATGGCAGGCTTTTCTCCAAAACATGCTAATCCTCAACTCAAAGAGTATATAATTCATGTACACGCTGAAGCCCCAGCTAACATATAATTCATGTACACACTAAACCCCCGCCTAACATATAATTCATGTACACGCTAAAGCCCTAGCTAAGATATAATTCATGTATACGCTAAATCCCTTGCCAGCATATAATTCATATACATGCTAGAGGCCTGACTAACATATAATTCTTATACATGCTAAAGCCGCAGATAACATATAATTCATATCATGCTAAACCCCCCCAGATAACACATGATTCATAGACTGCTGTAAAAGTGGGAGTAGGGAAAGATAACTTGGGGGGGGGGGGGTTGCCAATGAGGAGGACACACAGGCACTGGGAGGTGCCCCTAGTGTTTCTCGTCACTCTGGCAGTGCCTGGGGAG